GCCACTTGTTTCAGTTTTTCCTGAAACATTGAAATAAGGAAAATCTCTTTCCATCAGTCATTATTGTACAGTATTATCTTTTTAAGGTCAGACACTAATCTAGATTTCCATTCTTACAGATTTTTTTTTTCATATACACAATTCACGGTATATTCGTATGGATAATTTCTTTTAAAAAAAAAACAAGCAGTTCTCATAATTATTTCATGGTAAAAGCAGAATGATTCAGTTCTACTGTTATGTACATTGTGCATTATTATATATTATTATTTTTTCTTGAAGGAAATAAACAAGCAGTTTTCATTTGCTGCTCTCAAAGATTTAAGAAAATACTAAATTCACAAGAAATAGTAGTTTCACTAAAACCCAGCTTCTTAATCCATAATCCACAATCGGTTTATAATGTTTCTCTTGATACTTTAAAAATCTTCACTAAGGACACAAAAATGCCTGTTCTGCAAACAAAAATTCAATATTCACTGTAAAGGAAGTAAAAATTCTGATGTTCTTATAAAGGAAGTATTGACACAGAATAATATCCCACTCTCATATCTTACTTAGTCATGAAGAAGCGCAGGAGGCATCAACATACATTAAAAAGCACAGAGTATGCATTGGCCTTCCACTATAGTCCACTGTAATACAAAATTCTGTTAAGATAACTTCTTTGCTAAAAAATCAAAGTGATTAGGCTCTCATATGATCCAGTGCACAAAAAGGATGACTTATGCAAATGCATATAGCAAAGATAGCAATGCAAATAGCAAAAAGCTGCATTCTTAGGAAGCAATGAAACTATCCAGTAGTCCTTATTTACCATTCACCTTTCCCTTAAGCTAAAGCTACATTAGCTTTCCCTAAAGCTAAAGCTACATTAACTAACTTGCACAGCCTGTTCCAGGTTAAAAAAAAAAATCAAGAAGTGCTTTTGAGAAGTCTTAAGGCGGGAGAAAGTCATCCCAATCAGTCCATGTAGTGGCTGTTGTTCCTGGACAACCCATCTCCAGTCAGTTTGTTGATTCCATCTTTCCTCAGACAACTTCCATGCCTTGACAGTTTGTTTTCCTGCCTGTGTGCCTTACGGGGACAAAAGGATTGTCGAGGCTACTAAGAATCACAGCAATGATCATTCTAATACCCAGCTCGGCGCTGCCAAATCAAAAGTGATGTTTATTTCATTACAAGGAAATTGCAAAACAAAGTGTTTCTGAATACGCTTTTACAGTGCTCTAAGAATTAATCTCTTGCAGGCTTTATCCTGCAGACGGAATTCATTTGTAATCCTCAGAAGTGTTCTGCCATGTGACTTCCAGAGATAAAGCAGCCTACTTTAAAGGCTATTTCCACAGCCTACCCTGAGTGATGCTACGTACGGCAGTATCTCTCTCACTAGATTAACTTTTAATTATTACAATTTCTCTCATGAAAGAGACTCTCATGAAAGACAGCAGCTCACTACATGTTCACTCTAAGGTCAGAGGACATTTTATGTTAATTTGCTCATCTGTTAATTTGTTCAGAACAGGAATTCCAGCAGCAAGTGGCAGTAAGTATTAAAATAAAGCAAAAGCACAATATATTCTAGCCTGAGAAAATCGGACGGCAGGTTCTTAATGTGACCCTTTTACCAGCATTTTACTTAGGCACTTCTTTTAAGCGAGAAAATTACTTCATGTTGTTCAAACCACATTTTATCCTAGTTATTATGGCATTTCTTTGGATACTGGCGTTGTGCGTTCTTGCTGTAACTACTGCAACTTCACTAACACACAACATGAATAGTCCCTGCTCCAGAAATCTTCCAATCTAAGTGAGCAGAAAAATCAAGAGAATGGAGGAGGAGCAGGAAGCACAAAGCATTAACTTGTATTTGGTGGCTTGCTACAATCCGTCACACTATGTTGTTAAACACCCCTTAATGACTTCAGCAGAGCCCTGTCTAGTTGCATCATGCTAAAATGCTTTTGTCTCTGGGTGATTTACATGCGCCCAGAGCCTAGAAAGAAAGCCTATAAATGCAAAATAAACCAATAGCAGTGAGCACCATCAGTGGAGCTATATGAACACAAAAACTTCTCAAACTCGTTTTGTGGTTAGTGAAAGAATAGTGAAAGAATCTCCTCTGCTGCTACTGGGTAATGACACAATAACTCTAAGGACATCCCTCAGGACCTTTGCAACTCCATCCTTCTCAAATACCTTTCAGGATTAGTGCATATTAAGAAGAATTTCCACATGTTACCTGGCAGATGACACCTGTTAAAACACAATCGTAAAGGTGTGATTATCTAAAATGAAGTGTTACTTACTATGTCTTGATAATATCTGGATTAACGTCCTTATTCATATTCATAAAACTCCTTACAAATATTAAGTGATATGTGGGATGTGCAAAGTTAATCCTTAAACACCTAAAAGTGAAATCAATACTTGTTTTAGCGAATGGAGAGCTCTGGAATTCTAGCAGTAGTTTGCAGGTCCTTGTCCAGTATTATGAGATTTTAAGAGTTCGATCTAAAGCTTTATTTGCTGTAGTAGTCTCATCTAATAAATGTCATTACCACCCATATATCTTACAGTGACATCCAGTCACACAGGAGGGAGGAAACAATAAAAATAAAAATCCCTGCAGAAACTGATCTTTTACTTCCTTCAGATATGTATATATAAAAATATATTTAAATTATTTCATTGTCATGTACTTGTCATCTTCCTGCAAGCTAGCTAAGTGACACCCTGTATGAACAGGTCTTCACTAAATAATCATTAAAGGGCTCGAAGAGCCTTCGGATTACCCGGGTGGTTTTGGGTAGTCTGGATGTATTTGTTCAATAAATCTGGCTGAACAAAAGGAGAGCATCGGGTATTTATCCCTGGGAAAACCTGACCGCTGCTGGTTACTGCTGCCACCTCCAGGGAGGCAGGGCCACCAGTGGTGTCCATGAAACTGTCCCCTTCATCCTGCTGCGTGCCAGCTCTGGCTTTTCTCCCGAAAAATGCTGCGGGGCACCCTGCCCCTCGCCAGCACCACACTATGTTCTCTGCTTAGCTGGATAATCGCTGAAGAGCTGTACATTTGCTCGAACCTCCAGCAAGCATTTCCACACAGCAGGATTGTGGTGGCTCTGCCAGCACCGCCCAAAAGTAAAGGAATGTGTCCATTGTTGACCAAAATTTTCTCATAACCCCTAGTCTTAGCTGACGACGCTGAAGTTTTTTGTCATAAGCCATCAAAAAGGAGTTGCTCTCGTTTGCAACCTCCTCCAAGCCCCCTGTCTTTATCCTCTGCCCATAAAGCAGAAGGCAACTCCTAATAACGTCTTGCCGAAAGGGTTTTTGCAGACCCCTGTAGCCAGCACACAGTGGAACTGGGGCCAAAGGGATTATCGCGAGGGCTTTCGCAGCCTTGCTGTAATAAATGAGCCTTGAGAGCCCCCAGCCAACGTGCTGGTAGTGTCCTGGATTAGAAAGACCAATATATATGGGAAAACACACTCTAAATGTAACATTGCCTTAAAATTTACACTGCTCTGCACTCATTCTTGCTGGCACAATACTGGCATAAGACTAGACAGTAAATAAGTTCATTAACTAGGGATTTTGCAGCAGTGGGTACAAGGCCTCAGTCTTTCCCACTTCTTCCACAATTCAGATGGATAAAGGCAACCCATGCGGCCAGGGGCAACTTAAAACATGAGCAGTATTAATGGCGAAAGAGCTTGCCAGCCAAGGCAGGGAAGCAGCAGAGCCACTCCACAGCCTTTGGTAATGGGTCTGCATGAGCAAAGTGGCGAAGGAAGAGGGAGAGATGAGGCCATGGCCCATCTTTGGGAAGCATCTCCTGGCACATGGAGGCCGTGTGTTTCTTCCAGGCCAGGTCCTGGGATGCTGAGCCAATTCGTCAGCTTATTTCCTTTCAGGCCTAGGTTTTAATTAAATAAGTGCTCTCAGAGAGCTTTGTACCTTCAACTGGGCAGAGAATTGATTAAATCCATATATATCTTGTTACTCTTCCCACCCCCTTCTTTCTTTTTTTATTTATTTATGTTGCAGTCACATTATTTCCTTCTCCGCAGAGACTTTTGTCAACATTATGTGATGTCTCCTCGGCTTTCGCGGTCTATCACCTTTGACAACCGCCGCGTAGTGCCCTGAGTCATCGCAGACAGACTGCAGCCCCTCGCGCAGAGGGGAAGGACGTTGCGTGCAGACCCAGTGGGGCAAAAGCTTCCACGAGATTTAAATGTCGCCTCAGGAATCAGATCACTGAATCTGATGGGACTTTGGGGAGTAGCGACTGCCCTTATCTGGAGGAATGTGTGGCTTTTGCAGCATATGCAGGAGACCTGATTCCCCAGTGCAAATCAGCAGCACAGGGAGAGCTGCTCCGGGGCAGGGGAGCAAGGTGCAGCCAAGGCACATTCCCAAATCCGGGAGTCTGGGAGTGTTGCCAGCTCCTTCCATTCACAGGCAGCCCATGGTCCTCACTGATATGTCTTCACAGGGCCGCGTCTGGAGAGATCATGGAAAGAACACGCTTGTTACCCGTGAGTCTGCCCTGTTTTGGGGACAGGAAGGGAGAAGGGAAGGCAGGGTGCGCCGGCCACGCCGCCGCGAGCCTCCTCATTCAAATGAAAGGGGTCTTGCTGGCGGCAAGTGCCGAGGTAATTATAGAGCCCAAAAGAGCAAGATCAGCAGCTGCCGCCACCGCCGCTGCTTGTGTTTGTGCCCGGCGTAGCTGACGGGCCAGAGGACTTGGCAAAAACACGCTCCCAGAAGAGGAAAGACATTTAACCCCTGTCCTTGTCAGTCCAGAGCTGCCGGGGCGCTGCGGGAGCGATGCCCTGACGGTGCCGGGACGAGCGCTGCGGGCCCCGAGGCGGCTGTGCCCGCGGAGGAGGAAGGCTCCAGGATTCATCCTCGTGCTCGGGCTGCCAGGTTAGTGGGTTCACAACGCGCTTAATGTGTTTTGGGAGCCGACTTAACACCAGCCTCCCTCCCTCGCACTGCCTCGCTCGCTTTCTCTAACAGTCCATAAAACCATAAATAAAGTCAAACAATGGCAAGGGCTCGTTCTATACAGAGGCATTATTTATTCATATGTGCTGTAATGCCTCCTTAATGGTCAATTAGGGAGCACTGATTGCTGTTATTTTTTACTGCGGTTTCTCTCTTAATAGTAATGCATCCTGAAATCCTCAGCTGGGCAAAACTCCCATTTATGATCAGACTCAATATTAATAGGGGAAATATATATATATATATTTAGGCATTTATACTTAGCTGCCTTGATGATCTTAGCAGAAATGAGGAGTGCTATAACTAACATCTCACCCCATGCTTGAGCAAGTCCAGATAGAGAACAGGCACAGAAGAAAAGGAGAAGGAATGCTGCGGAAAAGCAATGCAGAGTCCCTGCATGTGACAGGAAGCCTTGGCCCTATATCTGCCGAGGAAGCTAAGGGCAAGGCGATTAATAGGCGAGTCTCCCATGGCACCAGCGACCACGGGCTCTAACGCAGAGCCCTTCGTCCTTGCGCGGCCCCGGCCAACAGGCGAGCCAGGAATGTGCTGGGGGGCATCGTCCGACGTTGCTCTTCCTGCCAGGCTCTCTTCTAGCCTTTTAATTTCCTGTGACCATGAGTAATGCTGGAAGGACTGTCCAGCTGCCCGCGAGCCAAGGGCCAGGGACCACCGTGTGAGCACCGAGCACGTGGATTTATAGCAACTCCCCCAGCTCTGGGGGTTTTATACCCAAGCGGCTGTAGTTGTTCGCAGAGGGGAAATCAAGCAAGTGCAAAGCGAAGCTTGTGCTTGCTGTGTTGTTAAATACAACCAGACGGGCACATTGCTGCCTTTCTAAGCTTCACAGTGTTTAAAGGAATTTTAGATCACCTAATCTGACTTCCTGCGTATTTTGGGACATTACCTTTCACCCTTGGCTTCGTGTGAACCCCGTGCTAAAGTGTCAATAGAACATTTTGCCGAGCAGCAGCAGGCTAAAGCATAGTGCATCCCAAACAAGGAGAGGAAAGAGAGCAAGGCATCGAAGCCCAAAAGTGCTGGGGCAGCCCCACTGCTACCTGCCCCCTTCAGAAACAGAGAGCAAAAGCTGCCGTCCTCCAGTGCCCCCCAAGCCAACGTGGTTTTCTTGCACGGTGTCAAGTAAAGCACTGAGAGAGCTGGCAGGGCCTGGCTGAGCAAAGCGCTGCCTCTGCCGCAGGTGAATCGCGCTCCATGGGAGCAACTCCTCCCTCTCGCAGCCCAAACTGGGGGAAAATGCTCCTAATCCAGAGCCCTGTTAGCAGCACAGCTCCAAGACTGTGGCCGGACTCCACGCAGTGGGCATTTCCAGAGAGGATTTGATACATCTCCGTGAAGCCTCCCTCCCCTGGCGGGAGGAAGGCTCCTTCCTCAAGCCCGTAGGCTTCACCGTGCTCGGTGAGATGCAGGTTTGGTTATAGCCCCAGTCCTCCTGCAGAGCTGTGAACATCACAAGGGCCTTGCAGCGAATCTCGCTCTCCCCATAGCCCATGGAGGAAGGGGTTGGACGGCAAGTTTCACAGCTAAACAGCTTCCAAGGCCAGAAGTGATCAGTAAGATCATAGAATCACAGAATGCTCAAGGTTGGAAGGGACCTCTAGGGATCATCTAGTCCAACCTCCTGCACACGCAGGGTCACCTAGAGCACGTGGCACAGGGCTGCGTCCAAGCGGGTTTTGAAGATCTCCACAGAAGGAGACTCCACAACCTCTCTGGGCAGCCTGTTCCAGTGCTCTGTCACCCTCACTGTCAAGAAATTTTTCCTTAAGTTCATGTGGAACTTTTGGTGCTTCAGTTTGTGGCCATTACCTCTAGTTCTGTTGGTGGCCACCACTGAAAAGAGG